AAATCAATGGGACTGTGATATAGCTATGCTACTGACTGAATACATACACAGATGTAAATTTGGAGCAATGCCCCTATAGTGTAATTAAGAGAGTATTTTGATCTATTGGGGAAACTTTATAGGAGTGTTGTATGTGATTTCACCTTACATTGGGCAGCACTGTGTTCATGTAGTATACACCTGTGGGATATTTATGTAGAGCACGTGACATCAACTAGCAGGTACGATAAATGTACATGATACAAATGAACATACAGCATCTTGCAGCACTCTTATGGAGAACTTGAATAAGTGTGACAATCATTGGCAGGCACTGGAGAGGTATGTCTGCTGTGTCACACATTAAGGATCAAAAGTTGGAACCTTAATGGAGGAACTTTTAGAATGTGCATTAGCAGAACTCTAAACTATTGGATACCATCAAATATATAAAGGATAAAGATCTGTATGGAACAAAGCTAACTGCTATCTGTGAACCTCACATAGGAGAAATTGGAGTTATCATTCTCCATTGAAATACCTTTTTTACGGGGTTACTGCCTGTATAATTTCAAATATACTGGATGTAATTTTGATGTTACTCTAAACATGTACTACAAAGTAAACAAATGAAACCAGCACTCAAATCTTCATGCAGACTAGGATAACTGTAACTATCATTCGTTGCGGTGCAGCCCTTAGAAGATCGGGACATCTTGATACTGGTGAACAAAAGCAAAACAGGGCACACTCTCTTCATGCATTATCGTGGTGAAACACAAATTTATTTAAAAGCATATACATGCATACTCACAAACCAAAGGGGGATAAAAACAGAGCTCCGAAGCAAGGAGTACATATCCCAAAATGCATTAGCCTACTTCACAAAGGGTCTACGGTCACTTTGGACTGTCATTACGGACTCTTCTCTGTTTTTATCCCCCTTTGGTTTGTGAGTATGCATGTATATGCTTTTAAATAAATTTGTGTTTCACCACAGTAATGCACAAAGAAGGTACTACAAAGTGTGAAAACACATTAATGTGTTATAATACCCTAGAGAGATTTAGGCCTCATGCACATTGGGCATTTGCTCAGCTCTTCTGAACACCTTTTCTCCAAAAGCCATATTTTGTAAATGTGTTTAGATGCATTTAGGCACGTTAAGTGTTTGGCCATTTTTTCATTCCATTGACCAGAATATAAATTTATTCTGGCCAGTGAAATAAATTAACACTCAAGAACTAAACTCATCTAGCGTTTAGGCGTGTTTAGACGTATTTAAGTGTGTCCGGCATTTTTCTGCTGAAACTCTCCTCTCAGGAATGCACAGGTGACTTTTTTTATGTTTTCCTACCTCTGAACACCTGTAAACACCTATGTGTGCATTGACACATAAGTTAACATGGAGGGGTAGAACCAAGAAGCAAAGGTTGGCTACACTGACAGTGGTTTAACAGATTAAAATCTTTATTGGAATCTTCACATACAGTGTAATAAGAGAACATGACAGCTCCAAGACTGGACAAAGAAACAGTAAACGCATTTCACACGAACACGTGCTTAGTCATTACCATGGAGGGGTGTTTACAGGTTAAAAAAAGTTATATGCCCTGTCATGTTTTTGATGCACAGTGTGCATGAGGCCTTAGAGTTTAATGGAGCTGAATATCTGGATAATTCCAAGATGCTATGATACAGGTTAACACAACAATGTTAAGAGAATATGTTACATTTCCTTTGTAGTAGAGGGGGTGTCTCTTAGAGTGTTATTTTCCTTTAAGAGATGCCACTGTTTTTAGTGTTTTTGTTGAGTCACTGGGCTGAATGAAAAAAATAAAAGAACAGATTCATGCATCCACACAAGTAAGGTAGATGGAGGAATCCCACCCACTGCTGCTGTCAGAATGCAGTGATCATCGGCTGCAGCTGCTGATCAAGAATTACTTTAGAACTTGTCCATTAGACAGGAGTCAATTTACCGATTGACTTCTGTAAAACAGAGACAGCCCCACACTGTCTGAAATTTGGCCAGTCCCTGCTGAACCAGCAACATTGTGATCTGCTTATGGCCAGTTTTAGATTCTCTGCTTTGTCTTCAGTAGAGATTCTCTGCCTTGTCTTCAATAGAGATTCTCTGCCTTGTCTTCTGAACGGATATTCTTCTCACATCCTGATGGAGCTGAAGGCATGGATATATGAAGTGTGTCATGTTTTCTTTTTCTGAAAAGCCTATGCCGGTGTTTTGTTTTGTGCAAGACGAGGGCTGCTTTTCTAATGTAAGGCTGTTCCCCATCATCCTCAGGTTCTTTACAGGAAACTTGAGATATGCAAGATGATATACAGCATGTGGAATTTTGGCTAAAGAGGCTGGGGTTGGAGGGGAGATTTGTGGGAGCTGAATTAAAACTTAACATCCTCTTTAGCAAAGTATCAAGTGTTTATTATACAGGAGTATGTTTATTTTTGATTCATGATCTACCTGCAGCTACCCAGTAATGTTACCATAAAGCACTGAGCATGTTTAACATTTGTATGCTCTGGAAACCCTTCAAAATACAATAAGCTTACTCATGCATAACTTAATATTGATCCAACCAGTAATTTTAGTGTAAAACATTGTTGAAAATAAAACATATCTTGCCGATTATGATTCATAGAAGTTTTTTTGTAATAAAAAAAGTTAATCTGTCAATGTGCATTTCTTTTCTAGCTAAATAGTTGGTTATCCTTATGGATTACTCTATTGCAAGTAGACTTTCATCAAAAACTGAGAAAGAGAAAAAATACATTTGGTACATTCATTTTCCCATTTGGTCAACTCCTATAATGAAGAAAATTATAACTGGGTGAACAACCGAATGTTCATACCAAAAACTCAGATATGCAGGTAAGTTAGGGCCCATGTTGACAGGTATTTGTTAATTTCAGATGGGTTTGCATTCCCAATATAAGTCTATAGGAATGCAAAACCCACTTGAAGCCGGTCAAATAAAAATCAAAAAGAGTGCAACTGCATATCTACTGCGCCTGTGAATAAACCCTGATTGATCTCAAAAGTGTTTTGAATTGATGTCAGACTGATGTCATCTATACAAGCCCAAAACCCTCAACACAGGCCCTAAATCATATGATAATATACTATTCTGCTGATTATACTTGGGCAATACTCCAAAGCTTTAAGTGTAGCAATAAAAGTAAATGTGTAGCTTTGAAAAAGCTAAATCCAATGTATTTGTATCTGTTCTTGAAAAACAGTAATACCTATGTAATAATTGCTGCAATATCTACATGTAAAACAAGTACATAAGCACCTGCAAACTGAGTGCAGAATAATAGCTGTAAATATCTCATACTCAGGGGCAGACTCACCATTCGAGCACTCGGGCACTGCCCGAGGGCCTGGGGTCAGTAGGGGGCTCCATGAGATGCCCTAGATACCTTTCACAGGCTTTTTTGGGTGTGGTTGAGTGTTGGCAAGGACACAGGAGCCCCATGATTTCCTATTGCCAGGGGGCCCCATGAGTGGTCAGTCCGCCCCTGCTTATACTCTAAATATCAATATGTTAAATGCAGGAAGTCAAGCTTGCAGTAAAATAAATGGTACCCAAATCATTTGCAGCAAGATTTATAATATGTTGCTCTATGTACTTCACATCAGAGGTGTAACTAGAACCATCAGGGTCCTTGTGCAAGAAACCTTAAAAGGTCCCACTGAGCCCCGGCCAGGACCCCCCCATGATGATGGAACACCAGGGCCCAGTCGGAAGTGTGACCTTTGCCACCCTGGTAATTCCGCCACTGGTGTCAGTAGTTTTTTTTATTTTTGTTATTTTACTTTTTACCATTTTATTTCATTTATTTAATTTTTTACAATTTCATACAGAAAAAAATATTCACAGGTGTTTTAGGGGTTTCCCTAAGAACAATTTGGCTATAGATATACTTTGAAGGACTAAAGATGCAAATAGAATATGCTGCATAAGGTCAATTTGTTGGCCATAAATATTGACATGCATTTACCTAATAGAAAACTATATGGCTATACAACGTCAGAAAGAATAATGTAAATTGCAGTTATCCATAGTAATAAAAATGTATCTCTTTATTCAGATAAGTATAACATGAATTTTATTACTGTACCTTGAACCTTTCCACACTCATGGAGAATTTTCAGGTATCTGGATGACATCTTTGGTACTTAAATTGGAACTAAACTCTCTCAATCATCATTAACTATTCTGTAAACCTTATGCTGCACCCATTAGAAAATTGATGGGAAAGTATATTATATTTACTAATTTAAACTTTTTTTTTAATTTCTTCATTTGTTTCTTGGTTTCTGGCCTAGCCAAAATGATGTCATACATCCCAGGGGTCTTCATGGGCATTTTTTTTCTTTTATCTGGAGGACAGGAGGAGGGGCTTTCTCAGTTAACCACACCTTCTTGCCTGCATGCCTGACCTAAGGGCAGATGTATTCCAGGAAGTAAATGTTACATGAGTTATCTGCCCTTGCTCAAGATGGCTGCAGCTAGAAATGCTGGGGGGGGGGGGGGGGGGGGGTCGGGTTCAAAGTGGTATCTCAACAAAATAAAGCATGGTGATGTGGATGGATGGGTGAGTTTGCTCTGAATATTAAAATTGAATTACATAGTATTTTCAGTTTGTGGTGCTCAGGTACATTTAAGTTCCACTTTAAAACAGAAACTGATAGAATTAAATTGATAAGAAAGAATATGATAACATTTTTGACCGTGGCAACAAAAGTGGCAGTTCCAAAATATCAACCAACCAGCCTGAATCTTCTAGTTTGAGAGAAGATTTGAAGAGATTGTTAAAATTGCATGATAGAAAAAGACAGAGTTCCATATGTATATACATTATATTTCCAAAAGTATTGGGATGCCTACCTTTGTCACTCCAAAGTGCTGCTCTAGAGTCCAGTGGCGGTGTGCTTTACACCACTGCATCTGACGATTTGCATTGCACTTGATTGTGTAAGGCTTGGATGCAGCTACTTGGCCATGGAAACCCATTCCATGAAGCTCTCTATGCACTGCTGTTGTGCTAATCTGAAGACCATATGAAGTTTGGAGGTCTTTAGCTATTGACTCTGCAGAGAGTTGGTGACTTCTGCGCTCTGAGCGCTTCAGCATACACAGATCCTTCTCTGTCATTTTACGTGGCCTACCACTTCATAGCTGAGTTGCTGCTGTTCCCAGTTGCTTCCACTTTGTAATAATACCACTAGCAGTTGACTGTGGCATATTTAGTAGAAAGGAAATTTCACGGATGGACTTATTGCACAGGTGGCAACCTATCACAGTACCATGCTTGAATTCACTGAGCTCCTGACAGCAACATGTTCTTTCACAAATTTTTTTAGAAGCAGTCTGCATGTCTAGCTGCTTGATTTTATACATCTGTGGCCATGGAGGTGATTGGAACACCTGAATCCCAATACTTTGGGCAATATAGTGTATATAAGTAAATCACTTGCATTTAACAGATGATAAAATTCTAATATATATGATTGTTTTTAATCTAGGATAAAATATCCCTCTCTATCAACAAAAAGATATTAAATAAAACAAAAATAGTAGTTTTGGAAAAGGCACAGTGTGAACAGTGCTATACAATGCTTAAGGCAATACTGTAGAAACAGTATATAAACAGGTCAGCGGTGCTCTCTACTGGTTATGGGGGTTATAAACCATTCTACACATTGTATGTGTATGGTAATATTTAACCATTTCGCTACTGAGCATTTTTTTTTCCATGTTTAAATCTTTATTTTTGGCTAGAAATTACTTAAAACCTCTGAAACGTTATATATTTTCTGAAAACAGAGGCCCTGTAGACTATAAAGATAGCAGTTGCATTTTTTGTGTTGCACAATATTTACACAACTATTTATTAAATCCATATATAAAGTAAAAATATGTTTTTTTTAGTGCACACAAACGTAATATAGTCCCCAATTTTTCTCGCAGAATAAAAGCTGAGGTTGTGTAGATTAAATAGATGCCAAATTTGTCAAGCCTCAAAACTGCGTGCACCTGCAAGATGGTGAAAATATTACTGTACCAAAAAGTATTAATAAGTGCCGATTTAAATGCCTTACAGCTCAGCCTTTTAGAGTTTACTGTAAAAAGAAGGGGCTACAGGGATGCTTTTAATTTTTTTATTTTTATCACTTTCTTTACTTTTTTCACTTAACTTTATTGCTGTCTCAAAAGGGCACACAAGCCCCTTCTGTGATAGCATTGGGTAGGTGACAGGTACACATCATAGAGCAGTGTTTCTCAACCCTTTTTCCAGTCAAGGCACCCTTTAAAATTCTGCACTTAATTCTAAAACGTAAAAAAAAAACACAAACGAATAGTTTTACATAACACAGCAACTTCCACACATGTAAGACGCATAATGTTAGAGGTGAATTATTCTTGCAAGGCAAACACACCTTTGCTCACTGGTACTGGCTAGTATTTTAATTTTTCCCCTTTCCCTCAGTTTCTCTTCTTCATGCAGCTAATGGAGATGTGCAGTGCTGATGGAGAGGGGCTGGAGAGCAGCAAACAAGGATGCTGTGCATACCTCTGCTATCCTCCTGATCAGCTGATGACATCATTGGTTGTTAGAACATCGGCAGCTGGAAGGTTGTAATGGTGTACAATGAAAACCTGTGACTTTGCATAACTGAAAGGCAGGCTTAATCCACCCACTGGCTTCTATACAATTTTTGGGTAAATTTTAGGCAATTTGCCAAGGTACCTCGGAAGAAACCTGAAGGCACCTAGTTGAAAAAGGCTGTTGTAGAGACATCAGGGGTCCTTATTAGACCTCTATTGTCTCCCCTACCCTCTGCTGCGGCCGATCGAACACAAACTGTGGTTAATTAGCTATTTACCCAATTTTGCAGCCGAGAATTTGAAATTTCTGATCCTAGAAATCTCAGAGCTGAGCACTCCTGGATTTACACTTTGGGGTTTATTTACTAAAGCTGGAGAGTCCAAAATCAGACTCCCTTCTGCATAGAAACCAATCAGCTTCTAACCTCAGCTTGTTCAATGAAGCTTTGGCAATGAAACCTGGAAGCTGATTGGTTTCTATGCAGAAGGGAGTCGGATTTTGGACTCTCCAGCTTTAGTATATAAACCCCTTTGAGTCTTGTAAAAGTAATTGGGCGGCTCTACTTCCATCCAGATCACCTTTACTTAAAATCCCTCAGTCTGATAAGAAAATAGAAACAAGCTCACAGTTGGAAGCAGCTTGTTTTGTCCCTTTCAAGGCCTCAGTTTATGGGATATAAACCATATAAATGCTGCGCTACATTCAAAAAAAAAAAAAAAAAAAAAAAAAAATGAATGTGGAATCCAATGACATAAATCAATATAGTGACAATAAAAAACCATATAAATGCTGCGCTATATTCAAACTAATTAAAGTGAATGTGGAATTAAATAACTTAAATAAAACAATAGCAATAATAATAAATGTAATAAAAAATTGTGCTTAGTGATAACACAAAAATAATGGCAAAACACAAACTAAAATCAATACGCATGTGCATAAAAATGCACATACATATATTACACGTGCAAAATGTGAAGTGAGGTCAATCTAAATAATACACACAAAACTCAAAATCCAATAATGGAATATTAAGGTGAAAAAAGTCCAATAATGGAATATTAAAGGTGAAGAAATTTTGGTTTTGGTAAACTGTGTTTCCAATATGCTGTAAGGTGACCACAGGTGAAACAAAACGTGCAGGTATCTGGGTGTAGATAACTTGTGAATCCAACCACCTTCTGGATTAGCCTCTCACCTCATCACTTCGACCCTTGCGGGTCACAGAGCAGTATGGATCTCTCTCACAGATCCTCCAGGCACCACAGCACTCCAAAACCACTTCTCAGGATACAATATTCCCACTCAGCTCTTCTCCAAGTGTAGATGAAATATCACTTTCCCAGAATAAAACAAATGGATCCTCCCATAGTGTAGTAAGTTTATTATACCATAGGAACATCACATGTATAATAAAAAAGCACTCACGTAGCAGCCAGTCCACATTAAACCCTCATGCTCTCAAATGAGGATATGTGTATGTAAGTTGGGTGTACAGCTGAGTCCACAGGTGTACCAAGATGGCCGCCACGCCGGAAATACGTCACCGCGCTACGCCGACGCGTTACGTCACAATGTCACGTGACTTCATCAGGGCTGTCAATCACAGTGACGATAGCTCTTATATATACCCGGCCAGGATAGAAGGAACCACCCACATCAACATTCCATTCTGCCTAATCGCAACAATACTTCCTGCAGCCATTAAACTGAAGACCACTGGGGACTATTATGCAAGGATGCCAGACTTACATCTACAATGGGCACATTTATACAGAAAAACGAGGAGTGTATAATGATGCACCAGAGGAACATAACAAAGATATAACGATTCTGCAGCAGGCACATTTACACAGGAAAAAAATATATATATAATAATGTACCAGCCTGCAATGTAAGTTATATTAAACAAAAACAACCTAATACCCATTCCCTTTTAAAATATTTTAATTGTTATTAAAGGATTGTTTGGGGTTCATTTATTTTATTTGTTAATTGTTTAAACACATTATTTGGAGCGCAGGAGGGTCACACCACTATTGCTATTATCATTACCTTTTTTCTCCCGCTAGCTCACAATGGAAGTGTTTAATTTCTTAGAAAATAGGTCTATCAATATAGAGGATATTTTCAGTAAAACTCCGCATGAGCCCACAGGTGATTTAAATACACTATACAGAAGATTGGGTCATGTAATGGAGAAAAAGGTCAGACTATGGTGGGACATGGTCACCCATGAAAAATATCTTAAAGAGAGATTAGTCCCAAGAAGATTAAGATGGGATGTGCCCATTAGTGATGGTTTGATAGACCAGGAATCAAAAAATGAATGGTTTGACTTTTTTCAAGAAAAAGGGTTTGGAATTAATGAGATTTTTATTAAAACGCAAACAGAGAAAATTAAGAATTTTAGAGACACAAATTTTAGAGATTAAAGAAAAGATGGAACCACATAAGGAATCTCCAGCAATGGTCAATCTTGCTAAAAGATTAAATAAAGATTTGGAGAAAGTTGATGTAGAAGTGAAAAATAAAAAGATGAAAAAATATCAAAGGGATATGAATGATTTCAGTAAAGATCAAGTCTTCAAATGGCAATCTTCAGGTGTAGAATCAGAATGTAGTTCAGCTGACACTACTCCCGTTAAAGAAGTACGTGTAGAACCTATGAAGGGACATACGAATGATCATCCTAAAGAAGCTAGAAGTCAGGATAAAGGGAATTCTCAAAAGAATTATCCCAAAGGAGATAAGGGACACCAGACACCATATAATGGATGGAGACCTAAGAATGGTGGTTCGTTTATAATAAACCACAGGGGAAAAATAATGGACATGGTAAATCCTATCGTCCACCTTATAGACCTTATTATCCCAAACCCAATCATTATTATCAACAGCCTTATGGCCCTCCTTATTTCCCTAGACAGGATGATAGACCCTTTTACCCTAGAAGTCCTAGACAGGATAATAGGCCCTACTATCCCAGGAGTCCTAGACAGGATCAATTGGGATGGCAGGGACCACGATATGAAGGGAGGAGTCCCATCCCGGTTTATAATAGATATGAACCATTGGACTATGATTTACCAACAGAGGAATTTTTTAGGGAAGGAGGGTGGGGAGAGAAGTCCCCGGAAAGAAGTATGTGCCAATTCAAGTCCCGGAAGACAAGAGGGTGTAGAGCAGGACGGAAGGTCCAAGCGAAAAAGAGAGTAGTAGGAGAGGGTATTTTTAATATTAGTGGTACTACACTCACCAAGGAAGAAATTCTCGTATTGGATAAGGGATTGAAGTTTGCCCCTCCAAAACCAGCCAACAAATTTGATATTTTCATAGACTTACAGAAATTTATCAGAAAGATTAACATCAAAAAGTACTTTATGGGTCTGTCTAATACTAAGAATGTGACTAAAAATGCACCAGTTAGTGATATTCAACATACTCGATTAAGGAATAGATCCTTATTTAACCCTCAGATTAGCAATAATTGTCAAGTAGAATCTTTTAAAAAAATGGTAAGCCAAGATTTGGAATCCCTCAAACTCCCTAGGTTTCGGCCTAATATAGACATGCAAAAAGGAATGAAGATGTTAACACAAAGAAATGACATAGTGGTCAGGCCGGCCGATAAGGGAGGGGGTATTGTGGTCATGTCAAAAAATTATTTATTTGGAAGAACTGGGTACCCAATTAAGTGATAATAATACCTACGAAGTAATTAAGAAGGACCCCACGATTAAATACAAGAAAGATCTAGAAAGGT